AAGTAGTTCATATGTTCATTTCTATTTTAAACACGTATACTGCATGATGAAGATTGATAGATGCGAACCCACGCAACCAAACAGACTGGTGCCTTAAACCAGCGCCTTAGACCGCTCGGCCACTCTACCGTACCAAATTCACATGGCGTTCATTCACTTTCTATCCTTTTACGTATATGTCTCTTTGCAATTTCACAAAACAAAATTGATTTTTGGCAGAGGTGGGATTCGAACCCACGAACAGAGAGGTGCCTTTGACCAGCCCCTTAGGCCGCTCGGCCACTCTACCAAATTGCCAAAAAATGTTCATTACGCATTTTATATAAATCGATTTGTCTTTTTGCAAAATAGATTTGCATTTTTGGCAGAGGTGGGATTCGAACCCACGCCTCTCAACAAAACCAGTGCCTTAAACCAGCTCGCCTTATCCCGCAAAGAAGCCAAGCTTCATTACGCAGTCCAATTGTTCTTTACCATTTAAAATTTGCGTCAATTGCATTTCAGCAAAATAGATAAACGTTAGGCCTCCGTAGAGACTGGTGCCTAAAACCAAATAACCGACACCGCTTTTTTCCCAGCACCTTTAGACCCATTTCCCGGCCACTCTACCAACTACGTTTTCAAAAATTCCTTTCCTTTTATTTATGTCTATTCATTTCATCAAAAAATAAAATACGCGTTTGGCAGAGGGTGGATTCGAACCCCACGCCTCAAAGAGACTGGTGCCTTAAACCAGCGCCTTAGACCGCTCGGCCACTCTACCTTTCGGTGGCGTTCATCACTTCCGTCCTTTTACATATATTCTCTTTTATTTTCTACAAAACTTGAAACAATATACATTTTTGGCAGAGGTGGGATTCGAACCCACGCCTCCAAAGAGACTGGTGCCTTAAACCAGCGCCTTAGACCGCTCTGCCACTCTACCTTTCCGCGGTGTTCATTACGCAGTCCATTTCCATATATTTTACGATTATGTCTCTTTGCATTTCAGCAAATAAGAGACATTTTTGACTGGCAGAGGTGGGATTCGAACCCACGCCTCCAAAGAGACTGGTGCCTTAAACCAGCGCCTTTTTTGACCGCTCGGCCACTCTACCTCGCCGGTGGCGTTCATTACGCAGTCCATTTTTATACCTTACTTTTATTTTCTACAAAACTGAAACACGTACATGACTGGCAGACGTGGGATTCAAACCAACGCATCTGGTGCCTTAAACCAGCGCCTTCCATTCCGCTCATTATATTCATTGGCTCTACCATTTTTTGGCAGAGGTGGATTCGAACCCACGCCTCCGTAGAGACTGGTGCCTTAAACCACCGCTCAAATTACCCGTCAGCTGTTCATTACACTTCCTCCATTTACGAATATTACGATTATTCATTACAAAATTTGAAACAATATACACATTTTTGGCAGAGGTGGGATTCGAACCCACGCCTCCAAAGAGACTGGTGCCTTAAACCAGCGCCTTAGACCGCTCGGCCACTCTACCTTTCCTGGTGGCGTTCTTCACCGTCCTATCCTTTTACATTATATGTTTTGTAACAAACAGCATTTTTCCAGAGACAAAAACCCACGCCTCCGTAGAGACTGGTAAAACCAGCGCCTTAGACCGCTCGGCCACTCTACCGTTTCCCGTTCTCATGTCCATTTCCATACTTACGATTATTCATGTCTCTTTGTGGGATTCGAACCCACGCCCCGTAAGAGACTGGTGCCTTAAACCAGCGCCTTAGACCGCTCGGCCACTCTACCTCGCGTTCATTTCTTCCATTTCCATCCATTTTAATTATGTCTCTTTGCAAAATTTGTAACAAACATGCATTTTTTTTGGCAGAGGTGGGATTCGAACCCACGCCTCCGTAGAGACTGGTGCCTAAAACCAGCGCCTTAGACCGCTCGGCCACTCTACCTCGCGGTCCGTTCTTCACTTCCTTCCTTTTACGAATATTTCCATTTACGATTATTCATTGCAAAATTTGTAAACGTACATGCATTTTTGGCAGAGGTGGGATTCGAAACCCACGCCTCCGTAGAGACTGGTGCCTAAAACCAGCGCCTTAGACCGCTCGGCCACTCTACCTCGCGGTCCCGTTCTGTTCATTACCCGTCCATTTCCATATGTCTTACGATTATTCATTGCAAAATTTGAAACAATATGCATTTTTGGCAGAGGTGGGATTCGAACCCACGCCTCCGTAGAGACTGGTGCCTAAAACCAGCGCCTTAGACCGCTCGGCCACTCTACCGTTTCCGGTGGCGTTCATTACTCCGTCCATTTTTCCATACATTATATGTTATTCATTGCAAAAACAGAAACAATATGCATTTTTGGCAGAGGTGGGATTCGAACCCACGCCTCCGTAGAGACTGGTGCCTTAAACCAGCGCCTTAGACCGCTCGGCCACTCTACTACCTGGCGTTTCCAGCTTTGCGTTCTTACACGTCCATTTCCATACATTACGATTATTCATTGCTCTTTGCTTTTCTACAAAATTT